TTTTTGTACATGGACCTTTCGGTTTCCTGATTCACAGGGGAACCGAGAATCGAGCCGAGTAGGACCACAAGGGCGACAAAGCTCTCCCTCAAGAGTTTTAACACTGCTGCATTCCCTGGACTCGAACTCGAGACCACTGGTTAAGCTGGAAGAGACCCAAGCCATCTAATCTAAACACTCTTTGGTAATGGTATTGTTGTACGCCGCGTTATTGTCTATGTACCCTGAGCGGCGCCTTTGTTTAGGAATTATTGAAAATCCCAAAACAAGTGGACACGTGTCTGATAAATGATGCAAATCTTATTAGCAAATTTAAATAAACTAGTACAATACCCGTAGTTGTTAAAAAATATTGTTAAATTTTAAAATTAATAAGAAAAATTATTTTAAATTTTATTTAATTTTTTACAAAAGTATATATTATTATGTATTTTAGAATAACACTTGTTATTTTTGCGACTTACATATTTTATATTATAGTATATTTTATAACTTATACCATATAACTACTTGAAATGTAAATAATAATTGATAAATACTTTTATTTTTCTACCTAATATTAAAAAAATATTATTGTTATAAAGATAAATATAAGTTACTTTTTTTATACATACAACATGGATGTTAAATCGAAACTCATCAAGAGATGATTAATTAATATATTTTAATGTCAAAAAATACAAAGTTAACTTTTAAAATACATTTACAATTCAGTGGTTTTAAATTAGAATAAGAAATTATATTATAATGTAATTAATACATGTAACATGACCATTGATAATCAACATATTTATGGATAATCCGGACATAATTATTTTTTGATTGAAGTAAATTAAAATATACCAAAACCTAATAACGAAGCATGTAATTTTGTCACATAGGATCCCGAAGCATGCGAGTCTTCCACTTAGGCTCAGCACGTTCTGAATTAATATATATAGGGGGATTTATTTGTAGTTGTACCAAAACTAAAATAATTGTTTGCTTTGTTTTGTAATACTAGTGAGTAGTCTGTGCGATGCACAAGTTCATTATATTAAATAATAATTATAAATGAATGAGTAAGTAAACAATATATATAATAATTATAAATTAAAGAAGTGGGTTAACATGTGATATATTTACATTATAAAATTATCTTGTCTAAGATAACATAAAACAAGTAAGTT